TGTATCAGCAGTCACTCTGCAGCTCTGTGTTCTCTCCTACAGAAATACCAATAAAATGCTTTTGTTCTGACCTGATCTAAATTGTATTCTGATCATTTCTGCAACAGTGTCACCAGTTTTTTTTCCAGCATATCCAAACAAATTAATGCCAGTGTAGTACTAGGGAGCTGAAGCTGCTTCAATTATTAACACTCACAGCGTTAGATTCTCATCTTTTCTCCTTCTTTGTCATTAAGCTTTCAACATCTGCTCAGATTTCTCCACATCTCTTTTCTGTGATATGGTACAATTTTGTCAACTTTCTCTGAAACTATGTCTGTTATTTCCGAATTTTCATTCAGTGATATTTTTGCTGTACATTATTTATCTTAGTGGATTTCTTTTTTTAATAGCAGGGTTACTACGATCAGCAGAACGTTTTTCAGGAGGTCATCTATTTTTTACAAAATTTACCTCTGAGCAGGGCAGTCTTTCTGCACAGCCTTCATAAAAGTACATTAAATGTTATTCCCAAGAAACTACAGAAATATGGGATCTCAACACATGATTTTTCAGGCACTGTTGTTGGAGGAGGTGTGATATACTGTTAACTTTGAGTAACATATGTGGACTGGTATTTTCCAGTACTGCCCTAAACGAAAAATGGGTCGGTCTTCTTGATCTTGAGAGGTCACAGGTCAGCAATGGAGCACTTGATGAGCAGCAGAGAGTACTTCCAACCACCCCAGCCAGTAACCCAGCATCATCAGGGGCCAACTGAAATGCCTCTATGCCAGTGCACGTAGCATGGGGAGCAAGCAAGAAGAGCTATAGGCGCATGCCTCTAGGGCTGTGACTTCATTGGAATCACAGAGATGTGGTGGGACACCTCCTATGACTGGAGTGTTGGAATGGAAGGACACAGCTCTTCAGGAAAGACAGACTGGGGATACGAGAAGCAGGGAGTCACCCTCTACATCAGTGACCATTTGGAGTGTGCAGAGCTCTCCCTGGGGATGGATGGGGAGTTGACCCAGAGCTTATGGGTCAGGATTAAAAGGAGAGAGGGGACAGAGGATGTTACAGGGGGTCTGCTTCAGACCACCCAAACCAGGAAGACCAAGCGGATGAGGCCCTCTAGAGACAGATGCAGCCTCACAGTCACAAGCCCTGGTGCTCAGGAGGGACTTCAACCATGCTGGTATCTGTTGGGGGAATGACACAGCAGGAGGTTCCTGGAATGCACTGATAATAAATTCCTTCTCCAGGTGATACAGGAACCAAAGAGGAAGGGCATATGCTGGACCTTGTCCTCACCAACAGGGAGGGGCTGGTGGGCAATGTGAAGCCTGGAGTCAACCTTGGCTGCAGTGATCATGAAATGATGGAGTTTGAGATCCTTAGGACCGTAAGAAGTGTGCACAATGCGCTCACTACCCTGGACTTCAGGAGAGCGGACTTTGGCCTCTTGTGGGATCTACTTGGTAGAGTACCATGGGATAAAGCCTTGAAGGGAAGAGAGGCCCAAGAAAGCTGGTCAGTATTGAAGGATCATCTCCCAGTTCAGGAGAAGTGCATCCTGACAAAGAGGAAATCTGGCAGGAACACCAGGAGGATGGTGTGGATGAACAAAGAGCTCCTGGACAAATTCCAGCATAAAAAGGAGGTGGAAACAAGGACACGTAGCCTAGGAAGAATATACAGAAATAGTCAGAGCAGGCAGGGAAAGCTAAACCCCTGACAGAACTCTATTTGGCCAAGGAAATTAAGGGCAGAATTACAGAATGGCTTGGATTGGAAAGGATCTTAAAGATCATCTAGTTCCAATACTCCTGCCATGGACAGGGTCACTTTCCAGCAGCTCAGGTTGCTCAAATCCCTGTCTAACCTGGCCTTGAACACCACCAGGGATGGGGCATTCACAGCTTCTCTCGGCAACCTGTGCCAGTGATTCACCACCCTCACAGTAAGAATTTCTTCCTAATATTTAAGCTAAATCTGATAGCACTGTAAGAAATGCAGACATGCCCTGCATGTGCCTGGTAGACAGCATCACATATTGGTGATGAAAGGAGTATTATAAACACCTGTCTCCTTTTAACAGAGAAAAAGTTTTTACCAGAATCTTTGCTCAGTCATTGCTTAGTGTGGGAATAAGGCTGTAATGGCTGTCACTTAAGGCCTCCTTGTGATATCAAAGTACAGCGCAGGGAAGGCAGGAAGAGAATGAGCTTAATGTATAATAATGAACAAGCAAGAAAAAACATTGCAGCCAATTTCTTTGCTACCTTGTCCCTGTGAGTTGCTAGGGACATCACTTTCATCTTTCTGATGCTATCGTGTAGGTAGAAAACCTTTCTCCCTTGCAGCTTGAAAATTAACAAGGCGTCTTCAGTTTTCTATAAAGGATACAGATGTGAGAGCCAATGCAGGCTATTCCCAGACAAAAGAAAGCCTACGCAGATGACATACTGCACCTGCTCTATTTTCGTTAAGTTTGTATGACTACTTTACTACTTAAAGATTTGCCACTAACAACAATAGATGCAAAAAATGTAGCATCAGCACAGAGCAGAAATTCTTTTCCAGCTCTGTGGTACAATGGCTGAGTTTTCTAACTGCAGGCATGAGCAGTTTGGTAAACTGCTTTTCTTGGCAGATATGCTTGTGACTAAAATTCAACTGTACTTTTTGAAGAAACGTCTACTAAATTTGAATACAGGTAATTAAATTCTACTTGTCTAAAATGCTCCCTCCAAGCTGAACTATGTATAATTCATTACAAAAGAAAAACATGTCCAGTATCAAGGATGAGTAATTTTGACCATGGGTTACAGCAACCCACCAAGACTGAGGAAAGGGATTAACAACTATTTGACAGAATGAGATGTAAGTGGCCACTGAGACTTCTGTGAAACTACTAACCATGTAGTTTTAAAGCAAATATTTATCTGACTTCCCGCTCATCAAGGTCTGCTCTGTTAGTGAAAATTGTAAATCCTGTGCCCAAAACCTGTGCCTAAAACCTGTGCCTAGACGTGCAGAAATTGAAGAAGAGATCGAGTGCCATCTTGTGGACGCCAAAAGAATATAAAAACTTACTGCGCAAGTACTCATTAAAAAGAATGGAAGTACAAATCTTCTTACACATAAATTATAACCAAAGGCAGTATTCATTATAACAGAAAAACATATTATGAATCTAAATATACGTGCTTTTTTATTTTTTATATTTTTTACCTTTTTTTCTTCCTCTAAAGCCAAAGTAAACTAAAAATTCTGGGGGCGAGTGGTCACACTGCCTATTATTATGGCCTGTCATTAACTAGATAACTAGTATAATATCCAAGATACTTCCATTACTAAATGTAATTAAAACTTTTTACAACTCTCTTCATGCTGTCAGACAGCAGAACAGAATACATGTGGTAGCAGCGGTGTATTCAGGACATCTTTTTCTTTCACTTTTTCTTCTTTTATATATATGATACCACCATTCTTTTTTGTTCAGCTGAAGTTATGTAAACAATGATTCTATATGTCAGTCGAAGTTTCTCAGACTGAAGCAATTAATTAAAATGCTAGGGGGAAGTAAGATGAGAGGAAAAAAAAAAGGATAAATCTGAGGTGGAGTCCTATTTTAAATGAATTTTGAGCGTGTTCTATAAAACAACTAGTGCCCACAGATCCGTTAATCAGTGGCATTCTGCATTTTGTAGTATGACATAATCAGTTTCACAAGACAGTTCTCTCTCATTAGCATGAACTGGTTACCATCACCATTACACCTGCAACTAGATACAAGCATGTAACAGGTACTTAGGCTGCGTTTTTTCTAAAAATACCCAGCCAACAGAACTAGAGGTAATTCCAGGAGCACTTTCATAAACAGTTATATCAAACTGCTAAAGCTGGCAATTGTACCTTATAGGAATAATTGGAAATGACTGGGAATTCACTTCAAGGATTTTGACAGTCTTTCAAGATGTTATATGAATACGTGTAAGTACCCTACGGCATTCCTGAATTACTTGCCTCCCCTCCTCTTCCGCACCCCCCCCCCCCCCCCCCCCCCCCCCGCCCCCCGACTTATTTGGCATATATACCATTGACATAACGGCTTGGGCTGGCTGCCATGTTGCAGAGACTGAATATGCACTTGTGTCTGCTATCTGGGCTTCTACACGTGCAAATTCCATCTAAAGCTGGTACAAGCTCATAGAAAGGAGTGTAGTGGCAAAGCTACAAAATGAGACTAGAGACAGGAAATTAAGGAAGTGTTGAGGGGGCCTTACTCGCCAACACAGAGTGAGTTCAGGACAAATGTTGCTGTGCAGGTGTATTTCCCTGAGGGAAATCCCTGCAGTGCCAGGCTGACAAATCACAGGAGACTACAAATTATTTTTCTTTACCAAGCAACTATCGTTTGTCATCATAACAAAATAATAAAATTTAAAAAAAAAAAATCCATCTTCACAGGTTTCACCAGATGTCCGCCGCATCCTGCATCACTTGAGCTTGTCTAAAATGGGATTATCGGGGAATAAACGTTCGCCATTTCAAGGAGCGGGGGGACTGGGCGAGGTGTGACTCTCAGGTACGAGGGAGGCTGGAGCGAGGTCCCACAGCCTCCCAGGGCCGTGCGCCAGCGCCGCCACTGCGCCGCCTTGTGCCGCGGGAAGGCTGCGGGTGGAATGGGCCCCGCCGCTACCCAAGAGCGGAGCCGAGTTGAGTCTGCAGGGAGAGGTGAGCGGCTGCCTCGTTAGAGCAGAGCCAGCTAAGACTCCTGCTGCCTGCCTGCCTGCCTCCCTCCGGAGATACTCGTCGGCAGAGCTCTCAGACGCCTGACCCGCTCCACACCTCGTAGGCTTAGCTTCCCCAGGAGAGCTGAGTCGGCGGGAGAGGTGGTCTCGCAGCCCCCGCCCCCAAGCAGGCACCAGGGCAGCGCCATGTGTTAGCGAGTCCGTTTTTGACGGGAGGCAAGTGCCTCCCAGAAAGGTCAGTGCGCTGGGGGCTGTAATGCTCAACCTGTTGCTCCTCCTCTTCCTCTTGGTAGTGCCCAGAGCGCGGCAGAGGGACTGAGAGGGGTGCGGAGGAGGGAGCTGGTCGCTATGAGGCACCTGCCATACTTCTGCCGCGGGGAGGTGGTGAAGGGCTTCGGCAGGGGCTCCAAGGAGCTGGGCATCCCCACTGGTGAGTGGCGGCGCGGGGCCCGGGCACGAGCGGCGCGGGGCATCTTCTCACGTCAGGGCGATGGTGACGCCTGCCCATGGGCGAAATGTTCGCCACGGCCCGCACCGGCTCCTTGCTCTGGGGCCCCCCGGGGAGGCCGGCGTCGGGCGCAGGGGTCTGTCGTCAGCCTGGGCCCCCTAGGCCGCCAGAGCGAGAGGCGCCGTGGCGGATGGTTCTCCGGCCGGGTGGAGGTGTGGAGCTCAGCGCTGAGTCTCTGTGTGCAGTCGCTGAGTTCGGGAGACGCTCCGCTGTCCTGCACCAGTTCCCCTTTCGCATGGCGTGCTCTTCCCGTGAACAGGCTTGGCTTGCTCCGTGTTAGCTTTTTTGGTGATTTTTGTTTTCGTTCATATTGCCTCCAAGTCTTGTTCAATTGTCCGACCTTCTGTTAAACTGACTCTGTTTGCCTTAGTTACCTTATCTGATCATGATCAGTATGAATTGCAAGATCCCGAAAAGTGATCGTATGCACTGTGCATGGTGGTGTGATGTGGTAGTTTGAAACTCTTTGGACCTCAGAGTAGGACAAGGAAACGAGCAAGCACTGGGAGTGGGTTTAAAGAAGCAAATGTAAAGTGGCTGATGCAGAAATTCAAGGCAGAGCACGTGCAGCTCTCCTAAAGAGAAGTGGTGTTTTCTCATTGCCTTTCTTGGTTTGACTTGTCTGAATACAGATAGAGGTGTAATCCAGATTGGATATCAGCCTTTTCTAAAGACAGGCTGGAGTCAGTGGGCATTTTTCACAAATCCTAGGAGGCCAAGAAAACCTCCTGTGAGGAATCTTGAGGTATGGGACATGTGATTCTATCTGTTAATATGAATTTAGTGGGGTTTTCTTGATTGTTTGTATTTGGTTTATTAGTATCAAGGAATATGTTAGGGAAGCTTTTCCTGCTTATGGACTGTGGTAGAAATACGCTGACTGTAAATTCTTTAAAATCGTCGTGAAGCCTTAATTGGCAATCTCTATCCATGTGTGAATAGGACAGTTGTTTGGCTAATGGCTTAGATTTATTCCCCTCAGTCAAAAAGGAACTAATTTATTTCAGATTTGAATTTTTCTAAGAAAAGCCTCAAATATGAATAACCTAAAAGGCAACATGAAAAAAATTGTCAAGTGACTGAAATAATAACTTCGTTTATTTTTACATATTTTACTTCCAGAAAAATACACCTCAAAAAACTTATAATATGTAAGTAATGCTAAGATGCTACTTTATAATGCAGAGAAGCTTGGGATTTTTTTTCTGTTCTTTGACCATACTAAAGGAGTGATAGTCCTACCAGTGAAGTGCATTCAGACTGCAGATTTCAGTTTATTACTTTTAACTATAGAATGAACTATTTAACTATATCAGAGGATATAACTATGAAATAGTATGTGTAGTAAGTGTCATAACTCGGGTATTATCACAGAGACTACATTTTATGAGTGCTTTTTCTGTTTATGCTTTTTAAGCGGCATGTTGTGCTAGTGTTGCCGATGTTCTGCTTGTAAATAGCACATAGACAGATCCTGGCTTTTAGGAGATTGAAATTCTGTGATACACTTTACTTACACTTTCTAAAATTTTTGCAGCTAACTTTTCTGAGCAAGTAGTCGAAAGCTTTCCATCCGATATCTCTACTGGTGTATACTATGGTTGGGCCTGTGTTGGAAATGGAGATGTGCATAAAATGGTTTTGAGCATAGGATGGAATCCTTTCTATAAAAATATTAAGAAATCGGTGGTAAGAATTTTGCTTTGTGTGGTACTTTGATTACAATAAATGAGCTAGACGTTGAATAAAATAAGCACAATTGGAGCCATAAATGAGATTAGAAATTCCATTTTCTGTTAGAATTATTCATCTCAAATGTGTGCATTATGGAGAGACAAAAAACCCTATTCCCCCTGTCAGTAGCCATAGAGCAAGCAGCTGTAGATAAGTAAGTTTGATTTTTATTTATCTCTTCACACCATTACTTCACTACTTCTGAAGTAAAAATTCATATTTCCAAAATTGTTGTTGCTTATTGAGCTGATAGGTAGGTAAACATAAGTTTAGATGTATCAAGTTTAGTGGTTGAGACCCCTAAAATGAGCTGGAACCTGCTAATCTCTCTGCCATCATCCATATTTGACTTACGAAATTCTGGCATGCCTTAATTTATAATGATTTTCCAGTAATTCTTCTCTTATATGGTGGAATCCATTTGTGGGGTGCTGTGTCTTAATATACAGAATCAAGATCAAAATATAAATGGTAATAACACAGAGTTAAAATCCTGAACTGTGGCATCTATGTTTTTCTTGCTGTCAGGTGCTGGTACTTTTCCTGGGTCTTGCAGAACTTAATTTTAATTGCTAATACTTGGAAGGAGTTTTAACTTGACATGAAGTCTTGCTTCAAGAATAAGTGCCTTCACTCTTCTTGGAATTTTATCATTCAGTTCCTTGTAAAAGCTCTCTTTACTTGTACTTGTAAAACTTCTCTTTAAATCAGTCAAATTCATTACAGTCATTTGGACTTGGCAACTTAATGGTCAAACAAATCTAGGCATTATTATTCGTGATTTGCTGCCTTGAAAATCTTACCCCTGAAGTAAATACCATAATGTTCTTAAATGCCATGGAAAGTTCAGTTCTTCATACTAACATAATTACAAGCCCTAGCCTTTTAATCTTACATTATACATGTTACTGTAAGTGTCTTAGTTGTTCTGTGTGGGAGAGAATTAGAATTAGAGGTACTAGTTCAACATCCTTACAACAAGGAAAATAAAAAAGTGCATCATGATAATTGTCAATTTATTTCTCTCTTTTAGGAAACACACATTATTGACACTTTCAAAGGTGACTTTTATGGTGAGATTCTTAGTATAGTTATTCTTGGATATATTCGATCAGAAAAAAACTTCACTTCTTTAGGTCAGTATTGCATTTCTCTTAAACTGTTACTCAATTTGTTATGGTCTTGCATTTTGGGAGCACTGTGTCATTGTTCTGTCTTCATCATCAGCTGTTTTGTGTGGGGTAGCTGTTTCTCAAGGGTAGAAACACCTTACAGTCTTATCTAGATAGACTACAGAGAGGTGGGCCATCAACAACCACATAAAGTTTAACAAGAGCAAGTGCTAGATCCCACCTCTGGGATGGGGTAATCCTGGTTAAGCACGCAAATTAGGGGATAAGAGGTCTGGAAAGCAGGCCCACAGAAAGCGATTTGGGAGTTTGAGTTGGTGGCAAGTTTAATATGAGTCAGAAGTGTGCTCTGGCAGCCCAGAGGGCCAGCTGTACCCTGGGGTGCATCAAGCACAGCATCGTTTAGCTGGTTGAGGGAGGTGATTGTCCCGCTCTGCGCTGCCCTGGTGTGGTCCCACCTTGAGTACAGTACTGTGTGCAGTTTTGAGCACCTCCATATAAGAAGGACACCAAATTATTAAAGTGTGTCCAGAGGAGGGACCAAAGTGGTGAAAGGAATTGAGGGCCAGACTTAAAAGGAACAGCTGAGGTTGTTTGGCTATTTCAGCTTGGAGAGGAGAAGGCTTGGGAGGGACCTGGCAGTCTACAGCTTCCCCAAAGGGTGCAGTGGAGATTGAGGTGCTGATCTCCTCTCTCTGGTGACGAGCAGTAGGACCTGAGGAGACAGAATGAAGCTGCATCAGAGGAAGTGCATGTTGGATATTAGTAAAAGATTCTTCACTGAGTCTGGTCACTGCAACAGGCTAGGCTCCTCAGGGGAGTGGTTGTAGCACCAGCCCTGTCAGAGTTCAAGGAGTGTCTGGATGATGCTCTTAGTCATATGGTTTATTTTTAGGTAGATCTGCAAGGAACAGGGAGTTGGCCTTGATGATCCTTATGGGTACCTTCCAACTCAAAGTATTTTATCATTGTCTTACCTTTGACTTTTCAGTAAAATGTGGTGGTTGTTTTTTTTTTCCTAAGCTGAATCTACTAATAAATAAATTGGTTATATTAAAAAAAGCAAAGTGCCATAACTTCCAGACTATCAGAAATTATTTATTTCAGTCAAAAAATTACTGTCATGTCTGCAGAGTAGCTTGAAAACCATGAGCTTGTTGTAAAAGCATTGGTCTGGTCTGCCCTTTTCTTTTAAAAATGCATGTGTGTTAAAACTGAAACAATTAACGAAATTCTGTTGACTTTTTTGATAAAATGTCTTGCAACAAGGAAAAAGTATTTACAGCAGGGAAAAGTGCAATGCATGTCAAAAGCGTAAAAGCCTGTTATTTTAGAGATTGTGCCTTTCCAACTTCATAGTAATAATAAATGTATCCTGACTGTGATTGCTCTCTGGTATTCTACAGTACACCCTTTTTCTTTTGCTATTGTTTGTTCAGAATTCAGACCAGCTTTCAAATACTGCTTTTCTTACTGCTCTTTTGCAGGCGCACTTGTTTCAGCAATTCAGGAAGACATTGAAGAGGCAAAAAGACAGCTAGATTTACCAGAACATCTTAAACTCAAAGAAGACAACTTCTTTCGCCTGCCAGAAGGCAAACCAGTAAACCACTAAGCAAAAACATGTGGGTTTTTTCATCTCTTGGAGCATTTTGCACTACCATGTGTCATGTATATTTTGATATATGATGTATGTGTTTGTACTGGGTTTGGCTGGGATGGAGTTAATTTTCTTCATAGCACGTCATATGGTGCTGTGCTTTAGATTTGTGACCAAAACAATGAACACAACACATTAATGTCTGAGCTATTTCTGAACAGTACTTGCACAGCATCAAGGCCTTCTCTGTCTCTTGCTCTGCTTCCCCACTGAATAAATTGGGGCTGTACAAGGGAGGAAGCACAACCCGACAAATGACCTGAACTAACCAGAAATACTCCATGCTGTAGTGGTCATGCTGAGCAATAAAATGGAGAGAAGGGGGTCAGCTATCCTTTGTTTGGGACCTAGTTGGGCATAGGCCTGTTCAGGGGAGGTGGTGAATGATTGCCTTATTTTGTCTTCTTTTTTTCATTCCTTCTCTTCTCCTTTGCTTGTTAATCTATTTGTATCTCAACCCGCAAATTTTACTGCTTTTAAAAACAGTCCCATTGCATACTGATCCTGCATTTTGCGGCATTTCACTGCAGCATTTCAGAGAGCTCTGCCAGGATAGCCTTATCGGAATTCTCTGGGGTGGGTTCTGTCAGCCTGCTAGGGTTCTAGTTCATAGTGTTTTAACTTGCAGCAAGTCTTATGGGGTATTTGGGAAAAGGCCTTGAGCAAGTCAAGGAGTCCTTGTAGCTGTGCAGGACTTGATTATTCAGATGCTTATCAGTCCTGTTGATGGCAAAGACAGAAGGGGATATACACCTTTTGAGGGAGAAAAAGAATGATTTCTATAAAGACACTTAAGAGAATGAGCATCATTTTGGCCTATGTTGTTAAGTTTGTTTATAAATTTATCTCTCCAAAGACACAGTTTTGTCCTAACCATTGCCTGGACATTTTCAGCACACTTTGGCATTTCTAGTAGGAAAATAATAAAAGAGAACTAAACTTGCCTGCTGTCAGGAAAAAAAGAAAAAAACCAAAACCCAAAAGCAAACCCTAAAACCAGTTTAATGGGCTTTTGCTGTATTCATGTTGGAAATCTATACAAGAATTTTCTTGAAAGTCAGTTCTGGGTTTCTGCACTTCAGAATTGAAGGATAATGGAAGAATTGTTTTAACTTTTTTTCCACCCAGTGTAAGGAGGCATTCTTGGATATATAACAATGTCAAAGTCTTGCTTCTTATTTTACTTTTCTGGAAGAACAAGTTACAGCCATGTTAGCCAATCTCATATATTGTCAAGAACATACTTAAAGAGTAAGTCTTTATTGATTCTGCTATTATAGCTAAGCTTATAGCTGCCTTTTAAAATTATTTTTTGCCAGAGATTTAATGTGCCTGTGTGGAAACCAGAGTGTCTTAAGCTGGTTGTCTTAGTAACACTATTCTGTCACCGCTAATGAATGCTGCTATCCAAAATCGCTTTTATCATTTGGCTTTAATGAAACCGAATGCTTGAAGATGGAGAACAGCAGCAAAAGGAAAACTGGAGAAATTTTACTTCCTCACAGCCTTCACGTGAACTGTGAAGTATGTATACAGTAAGGTAATAAACTCTTCTTTGCATGGTTGCCATCAAGCTGAACAAAATATATTTGCATTTATTTGGCTGAGTGTATCTTACCTCTCTGCATTATTTAATATCAGGTATTATATATTGATTTTTTAAGTTGTGCGATTTTTTTATGTTGTGCGATTCCCTGCACAATATAAACTTTATGAAGGGCTGTATTTTTTTATGATGTGCAAATAACTATTTCAGTTTATGTTGTGACACTGCCATTAATAAAATAGTATAGCTGAGAAAGTAGCAATGCTGCTTATCACAGGTTTTCTGATTGATTGTATTGTATGTGATGCACGTCATCTGTGTGCATTCCATATCATACTGAAAGAGTTGCTTCAGAGTTCTTTCATTACCATGCTGAAACCTTCAGTTTTTTTTGAAGGGAAGGGAAGGATTGTTGTTCTTGCTACAGACTTGTTGCTACATTATTTATGTTCCAGATGTTTGCAGTACTTTGTAAGGCAATACATGAACATAAAGTGCGGAAGAAAGGTCACTGAAATTGTAGGATTTGAAGCAATACGAGAATTTTCAACGTTTCAGATACTTTTAAAATAAAGCCTGTGGTGCATTTTAATTGACTGTCTCACAACTTCTGAGGTCTGTTACTGTTCTGAAATGGGAGTTTGTTGGCAATGTGAGAATAACAGCGTAAGATTTTATTTTTTTTTCAAATGCATATAGGTGATAATGGTCTTACTTAGATAGCTGTGGCATTAAGCTAGCTGCTGTTCTGATAGCCTAAAGAACCAGTGCTTAGCTGATGTTAAAATGCAGCATGCCTTCATGTTCAGAAGATGTGAAGGTGCAATGTGCACAAGCAAATAGTCTGCAATAGATGCTCACACAGGCTTCTTGCGTAGCTAGCTGCATTTTGAATTTGAAGCTTTCCTAGAAACAGATATATGGAACCTGTGTTGGGTTAGTATCCTTTTCACTTTAGAGCATATTTCTTATATATACAATATGACGTTTTCAAAATCTATGTGAAAATGAAATCAAGCCCACTAAAACTTGAAAATCAATTAAAACATCATTTTTTTTTTAATGTGTACCTATACAAGTAGGATAGTTACCATATTAATGTTGTTACCGATGTGAGTATATTTTCATTTATTTTTCAATAACTGTTACATACTGCAGATGGTGAACTTTGAAAGTTTGTTTCAGAAGACTGTACTATTTTGATATCTTCGATACCTTGATATTTTGATAATTTCTGTCCCTTCTTAGCCCTTTCTAAATTGTTACATAGAGATAATAGTTGGTATGCTTCTTAATTCTTATTTTGCCTTAGATTTCTGGCAATTCTTGTAAATAATTTATTCAGTTTCTCATCAGTCACAATCACTCCTCTGTTGTTCAGTATTTAAGGGTTATTGCCAGTATTGCTAGTCAGTAAGTTTTGTGTCTGAAGCAGCTTCTGACAATGACTTAATTCATATGGTGCTTTCCTTTGCTATGCCTGGCACAGTTAGGTGTCTCAGTCCTATGCAAAGCTTTGTAAGGGTGATTGCCTCAAAACTTGGACAGAAGAAAAGCATTCAGAGGTTATTTAAACTGGCTAAAATTAAAGTGTGTCTGAAAACAGTCTGACTGGGGATTTTTGTGTGCTAGGACATAGGGGAGCTATGTCTTTGTAATTCTATAACCTGAAAATAGATTTGCCTGTACCCTTTCTTTCAAAATGTAAAACTACTTGGTTCTTTTAGAAGTCATATAGAAAGAGTTGCATCCTGTTCTGTTCTGGTTCAATTGTTTAAACATTCATCTGGGTCAGGGCAAAGGTGCATTTGCTACAGCTGGAAAAGAATCAAACTCGGATCTTGAAACACATTAATCTGTCTCAGGCCTCTTGGGGAAAAGTTTCTCTCATACTTTCATGCTGTTTGTATGTAGACCTTTGTATGACCTCTATGTGGCATCCCAGAATTTCATCAGGAAAGAATGTAGTATAATGTGGTTATGGATATTTCATAAGGATTGCTTTTGTGTTAGATGCAGTGGATTCTTTAGTGTACTTTGGGATTTGTCACGGATCGCGCTGCTGTTCTAATAGCACACTGTCCACACTGGAGGCATGGATTTAAAAGCTAACTCCTCAAGCACCTATGTTCTTTAGGTTTCTGTTTTGACACCCAAGCACTGTAATTTCCAAAGATTAAGATGTTCTACTTGTTTTCATTCTGGAAATGAAATGAGATTTAAAAACATTACAAAATTGCCTTAAAATTTATTTTGTGATTGATATGGTCTGCATAGGGCTATAATTTGTTCCCCAAAGCTTCTTGTGTTTTCCTAAAGAGAGAAGGAGTGAGAGAAATTTTAAACAGAAGGCGCTACTTGCTAGTGTGAAGAGAACTTGCATTATCTGTTGCTCCAGGGGAGTATTTGGATAGATTTGTGGCCTGTTGGGGTTTTTAAGGGGACTAGAACTTCATAAACATTGCTGACCATGCTGGTTAATATATAATTAATTATATAACTTAAGGTACTGACTTTATAAATGTTCATCTTCTGTAATGACTGAGAAATGAATAGTGCTTTCTTTTTTGTGGCTCAGAGTATCAAAGTGCTTAGTATATTATTTTTTAGTTTGTTGTGAAGTTATGATTAGCTTTTCAATAGTACTAAGGTTTGTCTGTGAAAGGTTTCCATGAATAACAAAACTATGTACCATGAATATGTGTATGAGAAAAAAGAAACCTGGGAAATGAAGGTGGTGCTAGGAGACGAGGAGACAGGATACAGAAGAACAATGGGGTGAGAATTCTAGATGCGACGTGCAGAGAGCAAGGCTGGAGGAACACAAGGCAAGAACTGGAGCAAGAAGAGCATCTGAGCTCTTCCTGACAAAAAATAAAAAAAAGTGCTTATTTAGATGCTGAATAGACAAATGAGGAAGAGTAAAAGAATACTTATAGCCTTTTTTTACTATTCAATTTAATGTGTAATGTAAACATACAGAGTCATGCAAAGAGATAATTAGTGCATTTATTTTATTTGTTAAGGCCTGAGAAGAGATCTTCCTCAAGTGTAAGTCTAAATTGGAAAAAGGATGAAGGGGGCAAAAAGTCATAATTACTTTCTACTTTGTATCGATCTTCTCCAAGGGAAAAATTGTCTTTTGTCATATTAACAATAAAATCACAAGAGATTTGTGAAATCAGTCAATACATGTTGGGCAACTTCTGGTTATTTCTTACCAGTAGGAAACAAACAGTAAAATAGGAACATAGGATATACTACCTTGAAAGAAGAACGGAAGTGGCATGTGCACATCTTCTGTGGATTTTGCATCTTATATCTATAAATGCATCTAGTTCATTGGGAGTATGTCTGTCTACAGTCATAATTTTCAGTCATCTGTTGTTTGATATGATAGCTTATTATTGTCATACATATGTATTCATTAAGAAAAAAAAAGAGTGGAAAAAGTTCTCTAAAGTCTTTCTGTCTGAAAGTGCTTTTGAGCCCTTAGGATATCTGTCCCTCATCAGGATGCACGTCTGATTACTTTTCAGGCTTGAAACCATACATAGACATTTGAGGTTGAGGGAAGATGAAAACTTGATAGCTCTGGTCTGCTCTGAAACATACTCTGTTGCTCCCATCCCAGCAAGTGACCTGGGTAAAATAGTGACTTACTATGGATAATCAGAATTTTTCTATGGGTAACTTTTAAAGTGGGAAGTTTGATTGCTGAGAATACATTTTTTTATTGCAAAGATATATCCCTTGAAACACATTACTTTTCATGAGAAAACTAAATGCCTCAAAATATCCATTTGAAAAGCTTTTTTGGTAACTTACATAAGTTTACAATATTTTCATTCTTTGTTTTGAAATTTCAGCCTGAGTCGCTAGCCAGAAGTCCTGCAATTGTTTTACAAGACCTAGAAGCAAACGTGGTATACTATAAGAATGTAGTCTGATCAGGGAATAATAGCCTGTCGAGGAAGGAGCCTCAAAACACTTGAAATTTGACTCCGACAATCTACTTTTGTCCACTTCCTTTCTAGCAAAACTTCAGGGTAGAGTCATGTAAGAGAAAACTTTCCCTTATTTACATCAACTCTGAGGAAAGAGGGGATAAAGAACACTGGTAACCTACCTTTCAAAATAGATTTCTGGACTGAGAAGTAAGTGGATGGTAAAACTTTGTAGATGTAGATTTTCAGGAGATCTTTTGGAAAGAGCTTTCCTACTGGAAGGGTAATGAGAGATAGTTTCTCAACAACTGTGGATTTGAATTTCTCTACCTTTCTTTCAGGACAGTGTAAAGGACTTAGGCAGTAGAAGCCCATAAAGTAATCCAGAAAAGCAGTATTTTCCTTGTGTGCTGTGTTCTCTGTACGTTTATTACTTGGTTGTACTTGGTTTGTTACTTGGCTTCCTTGGTTGTATTCTGCTTTCCATGGAGTTTCTTTAGAATTGTGAGTGGTTCATTAATGATCTCCTCTTGTGCCAATTTACTGTTAAACTTTATCTTTCTTCGTCTCCCTGTGGACTCTTAGCCGGGAGTTTTAATTGCGAATGCTGTAAATCTGTTATGGCTCTGCAGAAGTTTGGGTCTCTTCGACCACTATTTTGAAATTCTAGTTTAAAAAGAGTAATAACCTTGTATCATATCCTTCTAACTTAATTAATCAGTTATTTACTGCTCTCCTAAGAAGACTGATTCACCTTCAAGGCAATTGTATGCATGTTTGCACCTTTTAAGAATAGGTTTATCATTTGAGCAGTCATTTGAATCCCTCACAAGAAGTGCTGTATATCTGGGTGGAGGGAATTTACCAGTACCGCTTCTCTCTTAACAAATGGTGCCTCAGTTTTGCTTGTGCCAGTTTTAGCACAAAAGGAAGTCCCCTTTTGCTTTGGACATCCAGGATCCTTGGCTGCATGTGACAAGCTCTGAAAGCCGGAAGGAAAGCGTCAGACTGCAGAGCAGAAGAATCAGAAGCAAAAGAAAATACAGCTAATGATAACTGAAAACATGGTTGAAATGGTGTGCCCAAACCATAACAAAGAATCTATTAAAAAATCACCTTGAAAAATTCGTGTTTGAGAAGAATTTTGTTTGTTTTGAGTCATCCTGAGAAATGCAACTTTGTCCCAGTCTGACTTACACAAATTTAGACAATGGGCAGGGACAAAGGTAATCGCTCAGCTTCTCACTGGAAATCCACAAGAACTCTGTAAGCAAACTTGACAAACAGAAGGATTTTCAAGGCAGTTTTGTG